TTGATGATGATGCAGAGGAATGTCTCAACAATGTTGCATTCCAAATTCAGAAATTCAATAGGGCATACAGGCGAGGTGGAATCAAGCCCAGACAATTATTTCCAGATGGCTCTTCGCAAAATCGACAAACTCAGCCCCGAAACAGATCTACTTCACAGAGAACATTTTCTCAAACACCTTCTCAGAACACTTCTAAAAATTCTTCATTTGTTCGTTCAAATTCTGAACCACCTAACTTAGATCACATTAAATGCAGGGCTTGTTCAGGATTTGGACATTATGCAAATGAGTGTGCAAATACCTTAAGAAGAAGAGGAATGAGTTTGATTTGTGCTGTCAGTGATGAGGAGGAAGAGCAACCTGAACAGACAGAGGAACAGCAATCCACTAAACAAGCTCTCTCTGTCAGATATATCACTGGAAATGCTTCTGAAACAGAATCACTAAGAGTTTCCATGGATGCTGCAACACTTTCTGAAACACTTTCAGTAACTGAAATTTCTGAGTTAAATAATGATCATTATACATGTTTAAACTCTATTTCTTTGAATGCAGCAGAATCCAGTAATGAAGCAGTTAGTGATGAGGAAGAAATGTACAAGAAATTGTTCAGTGACTTGGAGAAGAAGACTCATGCTCTAGATGCAGTCAACAAGGAAAATCCTTCTCTCAAAGAAACAATCACTCATTTGGAGGTTGGTATCACCAAGAAGGATCTTGAACTGGCAAAGGTGAAAGATGAACTCAAAAAGGCGACTCTAGCAATCAAGAGGATGAATACCGACACAACTAAACTCAAAGAGATTGTGTCACTGGAGAAGTACAACAAAAATGAAGGTCTAGGGTTCAAAAACCAAGTGAAGAAACACAAGCCAGTAAAGAAGAAGGAGATTGTCTTTATAAAAGAGAAGGGTTCAAATGGAAAAGAATGCAGAAATTCCACAGTCACCACTTCAGAGTCCAGAATAAGGGGATACATTTGTCATGACTGTTTCTCACCAGGACACACCCGCCCATTTTGTGAGAAACTAAGTAGTGACAAAATGTTGTACAGGATGAGTCACAACACTCCAGGCAACACCTCCAAGAAAAAGGTAGAATTTACCAAAAAAGAGTGTAGAATATGGACTCCCAAAGGTAAACTTATGTGCAAAACAGTATACACTTCTTTAAATGCTAACATTTCAGGTTCATGGTACTTTGATAGTGGATGTTCTAGGCACATGACTGGAACAAAAGAATTTCTATCAAACTACCATACACTCAATGGTGGACGTGTAACCTATGGAGGAGGAACTAAAGGCAAAGTGGTTGGATGTGGAACACTCAGTATTGAGGGACTTCCAAAACTTTCAAATATCCTACATGTTGAAGGATTGGGATCAAACCTCATCAGTATCAGTCAATTGTGTGATGATGATCTACGTGTAGAATTTGATAAATACTGTTGTTCTGTGTTTGATAATCAAAATCATTGTGTACTTACAGGTTCCAGATCAATGGATAATTGCTATCAAACAGGTGACACCATCTCATGCAAGAATTCAAGAGTAAGTGAAGTAGAGCTGTGGCACCAGAAACTTGGGCACACAAACTTCAAAAATCTGAAGCTGCTCAACAAGTACAATGCCATAAGAGGAATTCCTGATCTCAAGATCAAGGACATCCCTATATGCGGAATGTGCCAGAAGGGAAAGCAAACTAGAGTACCACACAAAGTGTTACAACCCGTTGGTACCACCATTTGTTTTGAACTTGTACATATGGATCTTATGGGTCCTATAGAGGTAGAAAGCCTAGGTGGTAAAAAATATGTATTTGTGTGTGTTGATGATTTTTCGAGATATACTTTGGTGTATTTTTTAAGAGAAAAATCTGATCTAGAATACATGCATGTGTTTGGATGTGTTTGCTTTGTCCTAAATGACAGAGATCATCTAGCTAAATTTGGTTCAAAAAGTGATTTGAGTTTATTTGTGGGATACTCTAATAACAGTCATGCTTATAGAGTATATAACTTAAGAACTCGAACCATTATTAAATCTGTAAATGTGGTATTTGATGATTTTGTTGATCTCCGCAGTAAAACAGCTGAAGATGAAGTTGATGACCTAATTTCTGAAGGAGAAACAACCGGAGGAGACACTACTGCCACAGATGCTCCAGATATAAACAGTCCAGTATCAAGAGAAGAGGGTGTTGAGCCAAGTGTTACCACATCTGACTCAATACTTCCTACAGAGAGCACAGAAGCTGAATTGCAGCCAACTCATGATGTCTGCAGAAATGAACCATCAAGTAGAATCCAGAACAATCACCCATCGACTCAAGTTGTGGGAGATATCTTTGATGGGATAAGGACCAGAAGAAAAGAGAGAATGAATTACAGAGATATGGTAAGATTTGCAAATTTATCTTCTGAATGTACACTAACTGGAACTACTTGCTTTGTATCTTCAGTCGAACCAAGGAATATTGCAGAAGCACTGAAGGATGAATTTTGGATTAATGCAATGCATGAAGAGCTGAATCAGTTCATCAGGAATGATGTTTGGTACTTAGTCCCCAGACCAAGTCATGTAAATGTGATAGGAACTAAGTGGATCTTCAAAAATAAAACTGATGAAAAAGGTACAGTTGTTAGAAATAAAGCTAGGTTAGTAGCACAAGGTTATACTCAGATTGAAGGTATAGATTTTGATGAAACCTTTGCTCCAGTAGCTAGAATTGAATCTATTAGGTTACTTCTTGCTATAGCCTGTTTTCTTAAAATCAAACTGTATCAGATGGACATCAAAAGTGCATTTCTAAATGGTGTTTTAAATGAAGAAGCATATGTAGAGCAGCCCAAGGGTTTTGAAGATTCTGCCAAACCTGATCATGTGTTCAAGCTTAAGAAGGCTCTGTATGGTCTTAAACAAGCTCCTAGAGCTTGGTATCAAAGACTCACTGACTTCTTACTTGAAATACAATTCACTAGAGGAGAAGCATACAGAACTCTATTTGTTAGAAGAACAAATAACCATATCATTATTGTACAGATATACGTTGATGATATTGTTTTTGGTTCTACTTATGCTAACCTGTTTCAGTCTTTTGTAGATTCTATGTCTCACACTTTTGAAATGAGCATGACAGGAGAGTTGAATTACTTCCTAGGACTCCAGATCAGACAGACAAGAGAAGGAATTTTTGTAAATCAAAAGAAGTATGCTCTAAATCTGGTCAAAAGGTTTGAGTTGGAGTCAGCCAAGCACATGAAAACTCCAATGGGTTCAAGTCAAAAACTGTCCAAGGATGATGTTGCTGAAGATGTTGACAACACTCTTTACAGAAGCATGATTGGAAGCCTTCTGTATCTAACAGCAAGCAGGCCTGACATTATGTTTAGTGTTTGTGTGTGTGCCAGATATCAAGCTAATCCCAAGGTCACTCATCTTAAAGCTGTGAAGAGGATTATTAGGTATGTTGCAGGTACAGTAGACTTAGGGATTCAATTTTTCAAAGACACAAATACAAACTTGATAGGCTTTAGTGATTCTGATTGGGCTGGGGATATTAGTGACAGAAAAAGCACCTCAGGTGCATGTTTCTTTCTGGGGAATAATCTAGTTTCTTGGTTTAGTAGAAAGCAAAACTGTGTATCTCTTTCAACAGCTGAATCAGAATATGTAGCTGCTGGAGGGTGTTGTGGTCAACTAATTTGGATGAAACAAATGTTGGGGGATTATGGGTTAACCAGTGATACCCTGACCATATATTGTGATAATTCAAGTGCTATTGACATTTCAAAAAATCCTGTTCAACACTCACGAACTAAACACATAGATATTAAACATCATTTTATTCGTGATATAGTTGAGAAAAATATTGTGTGCTTAAAGTACATTCCTACAGAAGATCAACAGGCTGACATCTTTACAAAGGCATTAGATTATGAGAGGTTTTCAAAACTCAGAAAATCTCTCGGGATGTGTACTCAATAAACATGTCCTGAAACGTGTTGCAGCATCTCATCAAATATCTTAAGCTGCAACACAATTTACTGAAGCATTAGCTTCATTAAATAATGACTTCACTGTTATGTATTATTTCCTAAATCAGTAACTGGAAGTCTTTCACCTTGAAACGTGATCATGCTTCATGTAAACATTTAGCCAATAATTACACTCACATAAGTCAAACTCCTCTATTTTGATAGTCATATCTTAGTAACTGAGGAACCTTCAAACTGAACACTTGATCATGTTCCATGTGAATTGTTTGACTTGAAAATAAGAGTTTATATATATATATATATATTAAAAAAAAAAAAAAAAAAAAAAAAAAAAAAATATATATATATAATTGTATCTATGCCTGTCAGCAAATTTTTCTCACTATCAATCAGTAATAAATGAATTGTTTCTATTTTTGTGAATATTTCATGAGTGCTACGGTTTTATTTATTTTTTGTTGAATTATCCCTATTTATATGGGTCATGGGTACATGGGTTAATTCCTTATTATTCCACTAAGTCCACTCCTTATTGTGCCATGTGTCACGGTTCTTCTTTAAACTGCCAAGGAAATTTTATTCTCCTTAATCACACTCTCCCCAAGAAAAACGCACACCACTTCTTCATCTTCTCCACTTCGATTTTTTTCTGCAAATTAGGGCTTATAAATTTCGTGCTTCTTTTTCGAAAATTCACACTCAAAAATCAAAAGCACAAGAAGCAATTTTTATCTACTGTATCATGGCATCTCCTCCTAGAAATCCTCTTCCAGCCGCAGTTGGTGATGTCCACAACGATGCTGCAGCACCTGAACCAGCAGACCCAAATATGGCCATCATCGTTCATCCTGTCAACCTTGAAGCTATGCCGATCAGCTTTATTGAGCCCGGAGACGAGATGAATCCGATTAACCCAGACAACTTCCAGAACGTGGGTCCCTCTTCCAATACAGGAAGGATTCCAACTCGCCGGTCCAAGCGCATGAATTCTTCCCAGATCTGAATGCTACTGGATCACTACGCCGAAGGGGAAGACATTCTCCCAGCAGAGGCAGCAGAGGTAGAAGAAGAGGCAGCAGAGGTAGAAGAAGAGGCAGCAGAGTCGGTCGCACTCCAGTTAGGCCAAACCCACCAAGAGGCCTTCATTTGGTTGATGAAGAAACTGATGATGAAGAAGGAGATCCTATTTTTGCAGAACCAAGCCCAAGCTCTCTCATCAAGCTCCACTGAGTCATCTTCCAAAGACTCACCTCCACTAGCATCAACTCAGAGGGAGACATTTCAGTCCAACATGGCAGCAACTCCCTCTCAACATCCTGTTTCCGAAGATGTTGCTGCACATGTTCCAGAAGATGCTACTGCACCCTCTGATTCAGCCAATGTTTCTCAGAGTGCTGCTGAGGATGCTGCGCCCTACCAGGATGAAGAAATGCCTGATTTTTCTGGGATGTCCTCTGCCGAGCATGTTGACATTCCCTCTGTTGATGCTCAGGATTTCACTACCACTGGAGAAACACCCTCAGCACCATATGCAGATCCTCTGGAAACTCTTCAAGTAGATGTTCAAGTAGATGCAGCACCTTCTCAGGCTGATGAACCAGAGAAAAGTGATGACAGCTGGAAAGTTCCCCTTGCCACTTTTCGCAAAAAATTGCCATCCTCAGAGTCAGACAGTGACTCATCTGAGGACTCATCTCAGATGGAAGAAGATGCTGCTCCACCTGTTGCATCACCTGAGCCAGCATGCATACCAGATGAACTTGAAGACTCAGAAGAAGAGGAATCTTCAGAAGAAGAAGAGCTAGACTTGGATGGGAATGAACTGTCAACTCCTTTTGAGGTAAAACAATGCTTTCAGTCATATATTTTATTTTGAATCTGATTCAAATTGAGGAAAAGAAAATTTTCAAATGATGAGTTTGATAGGCATAGGATCACTGCTTTTCTTGATCAAAGTTGAGGTTGCCTGTCCTTATGATCTTTCTGTTGTGAAGGAATTTTTATGCCAATTTACAAACTTCTTTTTTAAAGAAAAATTCTCCAAACTTTGAAAAAAGTTTTTGTGCGAAATTCTATTTTTTTTTCCAAAATTATCAACTCTCATTTACAAACTTCTACTATGATTGATAAGGATAATTATGGTGATTTTACTGAAGTTTGTAAGACTCTTTCTGGCAATCGTTTTAAATCCCTCTCTCATCCACTCCATTCTGATTTCTCAAAATTTTAAGATCTTCACTGGAATGGAGATAATTCCCTCTCAACTGAATCAGGTCAAAATAATCTTGGTACTGAAGGTGTTGCTCCTCATGTTGACAACACTCCTGACATCCTTATTTCTGTTTCTCGAGATTTATTTTGTTAAAACAGCTTACTCACTCCCTAGTTCAGATCACCTATCATCAGTGCATGGTGGAAATACTTCAGAGAGATCTTTCTGATCAAAAAGGGGGAGAAAAAAAGCTAGTCATGAAGATTGAAGCAGGGACTTCTCATCCTTTGGATGCCAGAGGCAGGGAGCAAGGAGTCAATAAAGAGGGAGCAGAGGAAAGCAGTGGATCCAGCGCTAATGATGGAGGAGCAGCAGCTGATACTGAAGAGACTTTGGATATTCTACTTTACTTTGTTTTATGAACAATATTTGGTTTTGTTCAGTTTTTTATTTTTCCTCTGAACTTTTATGTTAATGTTGGTTGTCAAATTCAGGGGGAGTTCAAGCAATGACTCAGGGGGAGTTAAGCTAAAATTTAGTTTTGATCAGAAAGTTAAAAAGGGGGAGTTTGAAACACGTGGATTATTTCCACATTGTGTTTTTAACTTTCTTATTTTTTAAACTTAATTTTAGTTATGGAATAAATAGTGCTTAGTGGGTTAAGTATAGTGCTTAGTGGGCTAAGTAGTGCTTAAGTGGGTTTAATTGTGAATATTATTCTAACTCCTTAAACTAACCCACTAACCCACTAACCCATGTTCTTGAGTGCTCTTGTAGTTGGTTTTCTTGCAGATCATGGGCTGAGGAGTGGATGCTTGGAATGCCTATAAAAACCGACTTCAATACTCAAGGAAGATTATTGATTCTACGAAATAAAAACCGAGGGCTGAAGAATATTCATGAGTGTTTTAGAGTGGTTTTAGAATCGGTCGTTTGTACTCCTCATGAGTACAATCTTTACGTACTCCTTATGAGTACATTCTTTACGTACTTCTCATAAGTACATTCTTTGTAGTCTAGATTGTATAGTATATATGTTTCTAGACTTGGTTGTAAGAATGATCAAGATAGTGATTCATTCATAAGTTCTTTACGTACTCATCACGAGTACATTCTGTGAAATCTAGAATTTTTAATATTTTTCTTTTAGTATCTAGATTTGATTGTAAGAATGATCTTGAAAAAGATTCATTCATAAGGAAGAAGTTTTCGCACCTCTTCTGTTTGTATTCTTGGAATACTGATTTTAATATATTTTTCCGTCCTGTAAAGGGCAAGTTCACAAGTCTTTACTTGTGAACATTTTTAATTCTGAGTACTGTCTTTTAATCTTTATATTTCCGCTGCATGTTGTCTCAAGTGTCACAACATTTCAGATAACATCTCTGTATAATACGAATTCGGGACCATAAATTATTTCAAATAGAATTAGGGCAAACATTTTTATTTTAATTTATTATTTCTTTTGGGAGGATAAGCTCGCCAAGATAATGACAAGTCACTTGTCCATTGTATATTTATTTCAATAGAAGTACTTTTAGTTGAAACAAGTAATCCACCCCGATGATAAGTTGGTAGAAGATTCTAGGATCAAATCATGGCAGTTGCAGTGTGGGAATTTCAACTCCAATTATGATTAGTTATTTATAGGCATCAGGTCCGGGTCCGCTACATTAACATGCCGTTGAGTCACCATAATTTACATTCCTCTATCAAATACTTGTCGGATCAAGGGATGTGGGCCAGAGGGCGAGAAATTTCGCCTTTTGATACAAGTAATCCACCCCAACAATTATTTTCAACTTGTCCGGTAAAATTTCAAATTATTTAACATAGTGAATTTAAAATTTGATATCTATATTGAGTTATCTAAATAACTTCTTTTTCAAATGCAAATCATTTCATTAATGCATACACCATGTGGGGTCTGATATATTACATATACTACATCGGTTTCGGTTTCGATTTCGACTTCGAGTCGATTTTGAATATTATGTAATTTTACAACAATAGTCATACACACATTTGAATACATGTTGAAAGTGATAAAATATTTATACAAATGGTAGAGAAGATGACACGTCATCTGCCACAAGAAGATGGGGGAGCTTTTGTATGATATGACCTCTTCATATGGAAACGATAGAGACACGTTTTTCTCTCCTGTGCCCATACATATATATAGCCCCGGCCCGGATAAGGTTTCATTTCACGCATCTGGTCCCATCATGAATATTCATATTCATATTCTTTCATAATTCGGGTCGGGCCGGGCCGAAATAATGTGGAGCCTAAAGAATCTTTTACGGTATCATATAATGTCACCTTTGATTGCATACAGTCATTCATATATATATATATATATATATATATATGTTAATTAGTGTGAAATATGTATAAACTCTAGTGTATGGTACAAGTTCGATCATGCTGCCATTTCATGTTGATGGGGCTCAGTTAAGCGATTGTGGACCGAACACTATCCGATGGCACTAATGGTGAGAGAATAATTGGGCATAAACTAAAAAAATGGGCCAAAATGAAGATATTGGTCCAAGACTCCAATCACCTCCGAGGTAACGTTAAATTACAATTAAATCCATCATGTTTGGATAATTACAACTACCTGTCCCAACTAACAGTCTTCTTACTCGTTTACCCTTGCGGTGTCAGATTTAGTTGAATCTTCTAGATATGTGGAATATTCTCTAGTTTGTACCTGTTTTACCCCCATTCGAGCTCCACATTTTGAAACAAGATGATCATAAGTGTTTCTTGGCTTTTTTACATCTGATTGTGGTGCATAAAAAACTGCGTTTTTGCACAAAACGAGTACAAACTAGATAACACTCTACGGAATGTAGAAGATTCCGTTGATTTTGACACCATAAAGGGTAGACGTGTAAGAAAATTCATAGTTAGGGTGCTTGTAATTACTCAAACGTGATGTAGTTTTTTCGCAATTTAACCTTACATGGGGGGTTGGCCACAATTTACCCAAAAGTAAAACGAAAATATTAAAAATAATAAATATGCATATCTTAAACATAGAATTAGATAATCATTAGTCACAAAATTAACAGATAGTTAAGTAATTCCAAGACCAAGAATGTAACAAAGATTACATATTCCAGTTATAGGATCCCAAAAAGTGCAAAGTAACATTAGTTACACATCTGATATTTCATCTATACATGTAATAACTTCCTATAGCAGCAAATCTTAACCAAAAAAAACTACCTTGCAATAATTTTCTTTCCACAATTTCTTCAAAAAAGTTATATATCTATATTTAACATTTCTTTAGTATATGTATTTATATATATATATGATGTTCTACAAATTCTACCTCATCTGAAAGTTGAGATTCTTGATGCAATACGCGTACATAAACGCGAAGAAAACCGCAAAACCAATCAAAACCACCGCAACTGGCCCCTTAAAATTGGAGTCATATCCAAAATGGTCGTGAATATATGTTTTGATCATTGGTTGTGTAGATGATCCGACGACTGTAATAGTATTCGTCACATCCCCATATTGCCCTATAATCAATCCATATACCGTCCACGCCACTGGGCAAAGCCAGTAATACCATATCCACCACTTCGGAATTTGCTGGAAGTAGAGAGACAAAGAAAAAACAAGTTAATTCCAAACATCTTCCATATTTTTTTAGAGAGAGAGAGAGAGACTTACAGGTCTAGGGATGAAAAAGCCAGAGAAAAGATTGAAAAGAGCGTAAAAGGCGGCGGCAAAAATGGCGGCAACTTGTTGGTTTGGAGTGACAGCAACAGTCATCATGCCATAGTAAGTGAAGTAGAGGAAGGAGAAGAAGTTGACAAAGTAGAACCAGAAGAATTTTGCTGCTGTCCATTCGAAGCTCACCATTGCATACACTATTATTGTGTAATATGTTGTCTGAATAATAACATACGGTATTTCTACTATCACCTGCACACCAATAAACCGTTTAGTTAAAGAAGCCGGATCCATCAGTAGAAATTCGAATAGAATTTCCGAGTTACAATTTGAGATTTCTTCTTTTTTTTTTTTTCACTACGGAACATCTTTTTCTAGTTATGATTTCCGAAAAATTTAGATTTTATTCTTTCCATGTTATTATTAATTATATATATACATCACATCACTATATATAGATCACCTGTGCCAAGGCATACGGTAGTGCCGAGTACATCCCCGCAGCTCTTTCCCTATAAAACACCGTTCTCTCAACTGCCACCACAGGTTGAACCGTTGCACAATTATTAATCCCCACGAACAAAACAGAAGCGTACATTGCTCCTATGATCGTCAAAAGATCCGTATCCGAGTTCCTAAATCCAAATACAAGACGAGAAAAAAAAAATCAGCAAAACATTTCTTGAATTTTTTTACTGATTGCTGATCATTGATAACAAGTACTAACTTTTTCGTGCCGACCCTCCAAAAAACGGTGCCGACAAGAAGAGCACAAGCCAAAGTGAAGAAATATCTAACAAGATTATAATCGGGGCTTCTCCAATAAGTCCACCATTGCTTCCATAGGCATGCCTTAAATTGTCCCCACTCGGACTCTGAGTATTGCGTGTTGAAGTACAAGTCTTTTGCTCCGGGGACTGTTTTGCTCAGTTCTTCCACCAAAGCCTCGTTTCGCCTGCAAATATTTACATATTAAATGGATTTAATTTTGACAACTTAAAGATCAGATTCTTTTTTTCTTTTAGCATTTGCTTACTGGAATAAGGTTGTTGATTTGTAGTATTCGGCGAAATCAATTTCGAGTCTGGCTTCTGTTGCAACCGAACTGGATTCGAGCATCCATGTTGCTGGATTGTACTTCTCTTTGATTCTTGGAACTCCAGGAATTGCCTACATTTCATGCAATATAATCCTTTAAATTAGTGACATAACTATAGCGACGACATAGTCGAGAAAATAATGCCCTAATAGATATGACAATCGGTGTTTGTCACTAAAATAATTATTTTGTTTCCTGTGGTTATTTACTTATTTCTATTCACGTTCTTAATAATCTGTGCTTAAAAACTACACTAACTGCAAAAATCATTTAAACCAAAAAAAAAGTATAATTTACAAACTACATACCTCAAAGTATTCGATGATTTTATTTGAGTGCCGCCCTAAGGGTCCCGCATAAATGACTTGCCCGCCTCTTTTCAAGAGAAGCAACTAATTCATACACAATAAAAATCAAGAATGTTACAAATGCAAAAAAAAAAAAAAAAAGAGGAAAAAGAAAATTGTACATTTGTATTTTTATTTACCTCATCGAAAGCTTCAAAAATATCAATGCTAGGCTGATGAATAGTGCAAACGACAGTTCGTCCGGTGTCTACAGTATTTCTAACAGTCCTCATAACAATGGCTGCTGCCCTTGCATCTAAACCAGAAGTCGGTTCATCCATAAATATAATCGAAGGATTAGCAACTAGCTCAACGGCTATAGTCAATCTCTTTCTCTGCTCTGTCGATAATCCAGTAACCCCAGGAATTCCAACAATGGCATCTTTCAGATTCTCCAGCTCAACCAATTCCATCACTTCATCAACAAAAACCTTCAAAAAAAAACGTAAAATTTACTAAATAAAATTATTAGCAAAGAAATGTTTCTTTATTATTATTTTATTTACCATTTTTTGTTCCTTGGTGACTTCTTTAGGCAGACGAAGAAAGGCGGAGTAGATCAATGACTCACGGACAGTTACTTGAGGAGAGTGAATATCGTTTTGTTCACAATATCCGGAGATTCTTGCAAAGGTTTCTTGATTTTTTGGAAATCCGGATATTTTAATTTCGCCTTCAATGTAGCCACCGGTTTTACGGCCTGCGAGAACATCCATTAGTGTCGTTTTTCCAGCTCCGCTTACTCCCATTAATGCGGTTAAAACTCCGGGCCTAAATGCACCGGTTACTTCTCGGAGTAGTTGCAGTTTTTGATCTTCTACTCCTTGTTCCTTCATTTCCTGCATAGGAAAAAAAAAACATAAAACTGTTGTTTATAATTAAATCGAGGTGGAAATTGGAACGGAATTTCCGATGATTCTGATCCGAATACTTCCGATTTCGGAACAACATTTTTTACTCCAATTTCCTATTTTAATTTCCAAAAATATATTAGATTTTGATTCCGATCCGATTATAATTTCAGAAAATATTTCCGCAAATTCCATTTTTTCCGATAATTACACTTATAATATCAATACTTTCATGTATTTTATATTAAGAGGATGAGCTTAGATCGAAACATTAAACAGGTACTTCAAAGTAAAATATAGCATCATAAGGCCATTTATTTTTTGAATTAAAAAGCGACATTTAAGATAGATAGATATAGGGTTCTAACCGGTGGCATGTCCACATAGTAGTTAACATTGTCAAAGGACATATATAGTGGTGTGAACGGTAGAACCATTCCTCTCTTTGGGGCAACACGTCTTTCTCCCTCAACGCTCGAACGACTGCTCATTCGTCGAATCTCCATTTCCCCTAATACAAAAAAACATGAGCAAAAATACGATAATTTTATGCAACCATTTGATGATTAATTATCATTACTTGTGTTGTTTCCATCATCGGATGATAATGATCGTTGAAACGAATCTTTGTTTGACTTTCTTGTCCCAAGTCTTGGTGACTCATCTCTGTATTCATTCTCAATTTCCATCTCCTTTGCCTGCTCTTTGGATATTATAGCTTGTGGCTTTCCCAGAGCTGTTTTTCGTCTCAAAATCGAATATAGGAAAATTTAGTTGCGATATTTTGTTCTTTACAAACACTAACGCATCAATTGAAAAGATTATTTAGAACTTACGGTTAAGATACATGAGAGCGAAAGTGAAGAGTACGTTAAATAGCAGTGTAAACCCAATAAGGGCAACGACACCTATCCAATACCAATTCTTATCGGCAAAAATGTTGAAGTTGTTCAATATTGCTACACCCAATAATGTAGTGTTGTCTGAGGCCTGCAATACGGGACCGAATAAATATCTGATTATTGATTTTTTTTTTCTCTTGCAAATGCTGTTATTACATCCTATAAAAAGGTTGTAAGAAAAAAAGCTTAGAGTTTTGATAAACTGACCAGTTTGTTCATCCATCTTGTAGCTAACATCTCGTTTACTACAATGGCGTTGTAGCCATAGGTGAGGGGTGAAACCCAGTAACCCCACCCCCACCATACTGGAATTTTGTCTGCAATCGAAACAAATCGTCGGAAAAAAACCTCATTTCAAGAAATACTAATTTTGTTATAGTGTTCGATAAATATGGTCGTAGTTTTTGGCAATATAGATTTATTGGGGGCTAACCTTTGGGGAGGATGAAACCGCCCAAGAGGAAGACGAGGAGAAGAGTAAGAGCGCCGCCAGTGTTGGCGATGATCATAGTTCGGCATACTCCGGCAATGAGCCGGAATATACCTGCTGCCATTTGCTGGATAGCAAATATCAGCAGTAGTTGCTTGAAGAACCTATCGATATAAATATGGAATACAAAGCAAGAAATATTATATACATTTTGGTGTGTATATCTATGAATAAAATACCATATGAAAAAACAGATGACACATCAAATTAAAACAAATGGATAATCAGAATGGAATTTCTAAATTCTGTTGATTTCGTCCCAATTTCTGATTTTGTTGTGTGTTTTTTTTTTTTTTTCTAAAAAGTTTTTGATCTAATATAAAATTTATATATGAAATACTGATTTTCAGTCCGATTTAATATTTTTCAAAAACAATTTCAAATATTTCAACACTAATTACAATAAAAATTAGAATATTAATATTATTATATATTTAAATTATATTGTCATATATAATTTAGACCCACAATACGATCCCAGTTTTTTAACAAATTGAACAATTATTTCTATTCTCCAATTCATTTCATTTTTGAATTGCATCTCGAATTAGTTTTTCACTTCCGAAAAAACACTAATCCCGATCCAATTTGCCTAATTTCACTTATATCCAAACTACAATCAAGTTAAAATAAGGTGTAGGTGCACACGTGTTAATAAAACTAATAAATGTGCATGAATTCTAGACGGAAAAAAAACATTATAATGCGACTAAAATACTCTTTCTAATTAATTATCTAATAATTTGAAGAAAAATAAAATTGGGATGGAGGAGAGAGTACCTGGTAGGATCAGGGGCAAAGCCAATAGTATAGTAAGTGGTGACCATCCACACAACCGCCTCGAACGCCGAGATCGGGATCCTGAGAAGAAACGTCGGCAGGGTAAACGCCCACGCCGGATGAAACAGAAGATCCCTCTGCTTGTAAAACACCGGCAGCCTCTGTATGGTCAACGCCAGCTCAGCGAACCCGTTGAACGTGTTGCATATCATCGCAAACAGAAGCGCGCCCACATAAAGCGCGCCGTCCTGCTCGTTCCTGGTGCGCATGTGTGTCCGCAGAAACAGGGTGGACGCGATCAGGGCGACGATGAATATCTGCACGGTTTTGAACACGTAGACGAAGGAGTTGCGCTTGATGAGCAGCCATTCTTTGGCGAAGTTGGCTCGGAGGAGCTCTGTGTTGGGGACGGCGTTGGTTTTGTAGACTAGGGCGGCTTTGTGGCTGCGGGGCTTCGGGTAGGGCACGGAGAGCTCGTTCTCCAGGCGGAGGCCGGCGTGGAAGCGCTTGAATTTTGCGGCGAATTCGGCGACGGAGATGTGGCGGTACGGGCTGCTTCTGTCCGACCAGTATTGCTCCTGGTCTTTTTTCGATGTCACCTATTTGAGTGAAATTGGGGGTGATGAACACAAGAAACCCTAATTAGAAATAAGGGACGAGATTGAATTTTTTTTTTTTTTTCCTTTTAATTATGATTTTTTTTAGCGGGAAATATTTTTAAATCTCGGGACTTAATAAAGTAATTATATTAGAATTGGAAAAATACAGTTTCATCCCCTATGTTTGCACTGATTTCACATTTGGTCCCTTATGTTCACAAAAAATACATTTAATCCCTCATGTTTCAATAGTTCAACACCTTTGGTCATTTCCGTCAGTTTACCATTAATTAAGAAACTGAAGGGCGCAAGGTTGATTACATTATTACTGACGGAGAGTTGACGAAAATGGCTATGAATGTTGAGTTTTTGAAACATGAGGGATCAAATGTGTTTTTTATAAACATGAGGGACCAAATGTTAAAATAGTGTAAATTTGAGGAATGAAAATTGAATTTTTCCATATTAGAATTATATGTGAGATTTTTTTTTAATATTGAACTTTTAACCAACTAGTTTTTTTTTTCTTTTTTAAATGGAATTAGTTTTCACATTCGATTATTTTTTCTTAAAAAAAATGCTAATTTCGATTCTATCTAGTCTTTTTTTGCAAATAAAAAGTGTAGTATTATACAAATAAATATCACTATAGAATAAAATTAGTTGATTTTCTACGACATGCGATTAATTTTGTAGTTGTGATTAAAAAAGAAAATGACCATCTCTATCCCTAAAACACAACAAATTAAGAAATGATTATTGTAAAACTACGTACGTTATTGAAAAATCACATTTAATACTAAAATTCAAGCACTTTAAATATTAAATCCAATCCAATTAAACGAACTCGTAGAAAGATAAATCGGCTTGAAACTTGAATTTTATCTAAAAATGTTTTAAAAAATAAATAATTACTTTTCTAAATATGATAGTGATAATTTAATTGTAAGTATGAAAGTGGCAAAATATTAATTAAATTACCTCTTGTAAGAAATCAGCAGTTCCTTTTCTCTCAGGACATTTGAACCCACAGCTCTCAAAGAATTCAACCACGTGCTCTCTTGGACCCTGGTACACAATCTGACCTTCCGACAACAAAACGACGTCGTCGAAGAGTTCGAATGTCTCGGGAGCTGGTTGGAGAAGAGACATGAAAATAGTTGACTCGGTCAAATGTACAATTTGCTGCAAACATTTGACTATCTGAAACGTTGTCGAGCTGTCCAGCCCAGTCGATATCTCGTCCATGAACAGTGTTTTCGTCGGCCCAACTATCATCTCCCCTGTTTCGAAATTAGAAATCGGAATTTTAGAAATTGGAGTGGAAAAAACTCGTACTAAAATTGGGAATTGTTTTAAATTGGAATCAATAAAATTCAGAACATTCCAACCATTTAGTCACCTAAAAAAATAAATGCATTTTAATTGATATTATAAGTGTAATTTTCGGGTGAGAAAAAACATAAAAAAATCAGAGTTGAAATCGGAATCAGAAGTTTCGGAATTCGGAATGGAAAGGAAATTGTTTCACGGTCGAAGAATTTATGATCGAAATCGGCGGAAATCGGAAATTCCGTTCCAATTTCCACCCGGCCTAATCAAGATAGAGTAGTAGGTGTGCGTTAATTAACAGTGTCACGCCATGCATATACAATAGAACTTCGATAAATCAATACTTGATAAAACTAATAATCTTATTTAAATAATAGTTTCTTCTTGTCGCGACTCGGTAAAAATATACTAAATTATTAATTCAATAATTTAATATTTCGTAAAATTAATACAATTTTATTAGTTTTGGCTCTATCAATTTATAGAAGTTTAATTGTATGTAATATATAATATATTAGGTAACCTGAAGAGGGAGAAATAATATATTAGAATAAATTGATAATCCAAATTGATGGTCCACCACCAGCATTTTAAATTATTTTGATGATTATTTGTCTATAAGGATTTGTTTGTTCTTGCCTAAGGTGTATTTTATTATTGGGACCATAAAATATAAATAAATAAAAGTATATAAAAAATTAGATCATACTATATAAATATTTATCAGTTTCTAGAATGCTGCTTGGTGGTTAGGTTAGGTAAGACAGTTGAATAATAATTCAACTGAAAGTTGACTTGTTACCTGTTCTGTTTCACTTTTTGGACCAAATGGAATGTAAGATTAGGTGAATTAATTAACCTCTCACCCCCTAATTAATGAAGATAGGATATTATATTATTATTATTAATTATTATTATTATTATTATTATTATTATTATTATTATTATTATTATTATTATTATTATTATTATTATTATTATTATTATTATTATTATTATTATTAGGTAATTCAACCTAGGGCTGGGCATTTGGGATCGGGATTCGGGATCCCGTCTCGTCCCGATCGGAATTTTACTATTTGGGACTAAAACTTCGGGAATTCGGGATTACGGGATTCGGGATTGGGATTAGGAACAAATACGGGATCGGTATTAGGGAATTGGTTCAATCCCGATCGGGATATTTTAATCCCGAATTAGGAAAAAAAGAAAAATAAAACTAATAAAAAATACACACACACACACATATATATATATATATATATAGTGTCAAGGAGATGAGAAATACAATACAAAATATATTGCTTCAACTTATTTTTAAATTTTTAAAATTTATTTGTTCCAGGTTTTGTAGTAAAATTAAATAAGGCAAGAACAATAGTATGTATATAATATATTCAAGTTGGTTTAGTGTATAAAATAATACTAATGGAAAAAAGATGCAATATTTCTTAGTTTTTAGGCAAAATATGGGATTTCCCGATCCCAATCCCGATTCCCGAAATATTTAGGGATACCGATATAATCGGGATTTAATAGTTTGGGACGGGATTGGGATTTACAATTTCTATCCCGAATCCCGAAATCCCGATCCCGAAAATCCCGAATTCCCGAAATCCCGTCCCGAACTCACCCCTAATTCAACCCCCCGCTAGTGGACTTGATTGCAACGTAATTTTCGAATTCCGCCAATTTCGACCCAATTTTTTATTTTAATTTTGGAACAAAAACTATTTTTCGAATTCAGTCTTTTTTTCTCGATCCGATTAAAAAAAAATTAGAATATATATTAAATTAACCTGTAGTAACACGTTTTTTTTGGCCTCCTGAAATTCCTCTTATCATTTCATCACCAACAATGGTGTCCCTGCACACATCTAGCCCTAATATCTGCATTTAAAATAAAAATAAAAATTAATTAGTAGAAACTAATAATTATTAGTGCTGAAAATGCTCATTTATTTATTCAAAACATTTATTAATTAATTATTTTATTTAAATGGGACATCTAAATTAATTATCCTTACCCTCAAGGTGTAATCAGTAATAAGGCTGCTCTCTACTCCTTGCATAGCAGTTGCCTATTATTGGAGATTCATAATAAATAAATAAATAAATAAATTAATTAATTAAATGATGAGTAATTAATTAACAGTGAGAATATAAACTAATTACCTTCATGAAAAGATCAACTTCTGGATCTGGAAAAATACCAGCTTCTCTCTCCCTTCTAGCTAGCTCACTCAAAAGATCTGATTAATTAATTAAATTATATTAATTACCGCATAAATAATCTTTTTTTTTAAATTATTTATTTAATAGTTTTATCGAGTAAAATAATATAATAGTACCGTATCGCGATCCAACGCCTTGGCACCTAGCCGAGAAATCGAGGGTTTCTTTGACGGTCATTTCTCCAACATGAACATCGTTTTGGCTAATGTACGCCGATGTTTTCTGCGGCACGAATTCGTTAAGCATGTGCCCGTTGTACGTGATTTCTCCACTCGTCTGTTTCAATAACATTAAACCATGCACAATATATACATTAGCATAATTATAGAATAATTAGTTTGCATTATTATTTTTATTTGAAAAAAAAAAATTGTCGATCGAAAAATATCGAACCTTCAAAGTAGGGTCCAATTTTCCGGCTAAAGCCAACAAGAGGGTCGTCTTGCCGGAGGACGGTGGTCCTAATAAAAGCGTCATCCTGTCACATTTAATTAACGACATAAATATTATTTCATCAAAGATTATTATCAATTTTAATTATAATAATAAAAAAAATTATATATAAAAGATTCAAAGTAGATTTATATATCAAGAAATTAGTAAATCTAAAAGAAGTTGAAATATATAACTATAATATATATACCTAGAGGGTTTAATGACCCCCGAGACATCTTTTAGTATAGTGAGTTTAGTTTTCCGAGTAGGCCCGAATCCGAACCAACTCAGGCCCGTCTCGAACATGTTGCGGGCCGCGTTTGGTAGAGTCGGAAGCGCCCGGTCACCGACGAAGCAGTCCGCCTCCACCGTTAGGTGCTCGAATCTCACTTCTACCGTCGGAAGAGTAATCCCAACTCTGCAATATAATTATATTAATTACAAATCTTGAAAAAAAAATATATCATTTATTATAAGTTCATATCATATAGTAATTATTTTTAAAATACAATCGATTACATAATTAAATACAATGGAATGGTTTACATAAAATAAAAAATATATAAAAATCGAAAACTTAGAAAATAAAAACTTACTTGTCGATTCGATTTCGGAGCTTGATCAAGAACTTCTCATTGTCTTCCTCAGCAACCCTAAAAATCCTGTCGATGAAATCCTGCCTATCGTTGACGTCGAGTTTTCTTACATCAATTTCCCGGTGAACAACCCTAACATTTCCGTTAGTACTATTCGGAGTTTCGACGAACGATTTCAGCACGGTTTTCCTCAATCTGTCGTACGTCGGCAGTTTTTCAAGAGCAGCCCATCTCAGCGCTTCTTCGTCTTCCTCCGCCCGAACGCTGCGCCTGGCGGTGCCGCCGCCACCGGAGCCGCCGGAAAACACGTCCTCCATGCTCCAGTTGCTCCGGCTAGTTTGCCTCCTCGAACCCCGCATTTTATCATCCATTTTTATTATTAATTCTTACTATAAATTAGCCTGAATTTCAAGAAAAAATGAAGAAAATTAATTTACTCATAGATTAATATAATGTTTTTAATGAAACGTAATTAACAAGATGTATATGATAAAAAAATATAGTGCTACAGTATTAAGATGAGTTTTGCGGCTTTTATAGTGTGTGTTGTGTGTGGGGGCGGGGGGGTTTGTTCATTTTTGGACCTAATGAGTTTACATCTATTAAATTGAATAATTTAATCATTTTACCAACTTTCTTTAAGCTAGTAATTTATATGTATATATTTTATTTTATTTTTTTAGTTTAAATAATTTATATTTATGTATTTTGACTTTTGTTTGTTTTTTCGTATAAATTGGAGTAGATGGGATGGAGGGTTAGTACTACTTTACCACTTACTACTAGCTAGTGCAATAGGTGAGGAGAGAAGATATAAGGGGCAATAAAAAATAAGGTGGAACGTTAATTTTATTTTTGTTTAGGTAAATTACAACCACCCTTGAGGTATGGTCAAATTACGACCCTTTATGTTTGGATAATTTTAACTACCACATCAACCATGGATCTTCTTGCACGTCCATCCTTACGATGTAAAATTCAACATAATCTTCTACCTTCTGTGGAATGCACTCTAGTTTGTACTCGTTTTGTGCAAAATACAGTTTCTGATGCACTACAATCTGATCTATACAAGCCAAAAAACACATCATATCATCATCTTGCTTCAAAATGTGAAGTTCGAATGAGATAAAACGGGTACAAAATTAAGAATATTCCATATAATCTAGAAGATTTCACTAAATATGACACTAAATATAATCTAGAAGATTTCACAAAATATGACGTGTAAGAAGATTTTATAGTTGATGGGTGTAGTTGTAATTAGCCAAACAATAGGGTTTTTTTCGTAATTTGACCATACATCAGGGGTAGTTGTAATTTACTCTTTTATTTAAAAAAAGAAGAAGAGAAACTATTAATTTAATTTTTTGGGTAAATTACAACCACCCCTGAGGTATGATCAATTTACGAAAAAACCCATCTTCTTTGGATAATTACATCTACCCCCTCAACTATGATTTTTTTTTACACCTCCACCATTATGGTATCAAATTCAACATAATCATCTAGCTTTCGTGGAAAGTGCTCTAGTTTGTACTCGTTTTGTGTAAAAGTATAGTTTCTGATGCACCAGAATCTGATATATACAAGCCAAAAAACACATATTATGATCATCTTGCTTCAAAATATGGAGTTCGAATGGGATAAAACGGGTACACAAGTGATAATATTCTATATAATCTCGAAAATTCCACTAAATTTGAAACCGCAAGGATGGACGTGTAAAAAAATTTATAGTTGAGGGGGTGGTTGTAAGTACGCAAATAAGAGGGGAATTTTCGTAATTTAATCATACATCAGGGGAGGTTGTAATTTACCCTAATTTTTTTAATTCAAAAATGGGTCGATGATGAATTAATGTAACTTGGATTGGGTTGACCCGTTGACCCAATTCTAACTAAAATCGCCCCCGCATATACGTAATATTCTTAATACATAATATTTATCATTTTAAGAGCTTAAAAGTGAAAAAAAAAATGTAGGTTAACAACATATATTAGTCCATTAAAAAATCTTCATGTCTTTAGTCAATTGAAAAAATGTTCTTTTTATTTAAAGAATGACTATAATATGTATGTAGAATTATTGTACTACATAAACATGGTAGGTTAACTAGATGTTTAATCTTTATAATATTAATCTGTTTAATTAAAACTTTATATATAAAAAAAATAAATTAAAACTACATATATTATTACTTCATCAAATAATTATGTACAATTTGAACCACATAATTAGTGGATGTTCTTAATGCTAATCTTCATCACATTAATTAGGACTTTTGTCTCATATTTTTCCACTAGAGAGTGTGAATTTTGACACCAAATTAAACGCTATTTTGTTGAAAGTGGGATGACTTTGGAGTATTCTTTGTTGAAATTTCAGTAAATGTAGGAAGCTACATCCACCACCCTCATTTTCACACACTTGTAAATATTTTAATAAAAATATATAGTTTGAAGCAAAGAACCATCTATATATTATTAATTTTTATTATAAAATTTTTGCTGGAAATATAAATATTAAAATAATTATAATTTACGATATTAATCTCATGATTTAGTAGGATATCGCTTTTATGCTACACTGAAAGAAATATATTCAAGAATAGAAGCCAGTCGCTCCGGCCGGCTTGTCTTGTAGTCGTAGCCTATTAGCTTATGTAGTCGTCGGCCTTCCGAATTGCATGGCTGGCACAATCTGAGTACTAATGATAATGAATGAAATAATGAGAATATAATATTCTATTTATATGGACTAATATGTTTTGATACAATTGTGGTGATTTTTAATTTTCTTTTTATGTAACAAAAAATTGAGAAAGAAAGTGGGTATAGAGGTCAAATAATATGGGAATTTTTTTTGAATATTTTTCAACAATATTTTGATATTGTTGGGATAAATTGACTTTTGGGCCACAAAAGAGTCAATTGTTGTAGTTGGTGTGTAGAATCGGATGGTGGGGCGTTGAACTTGTAACAAAACGTCGTCGTCAACCAATGCACATCAAACCCAACAACCCCTTAAAAAGCCCAAATCCTGAAACAAAAAAAAGAAAACGAAAACAGAAATGGGTAAATTGCTACACATAAAATTATAAAAAAATTAATTTAGGTTTGCAGTGCAGGTTGAAATAAAAATTTAAATGGTTAAGAATTATATATTCACCATATTAATATAAGTAAGTTAAAATAGTAACTAATTAGATTTTATACCATCAAAGTCGTTGTAGTATAGTGGTAAGTATTCCCGCCTGTCACGCGGGTGACCCGGGTTCGATCCCCGGCAACGGCGTATAATTTTTTGTTCATCAACCTTTTTGATACGGATATTTAACATTAAAAGAAGAAAATATCAAAAAGCCCGTCTAGCTCAGTTGGTAGAGCGCAAGGCTCTTAACCTTGTGGTCATGGGTTCGAGCCCCATGGTGGGCGATATTAAATATCATATAATATTTTTGTTTTAATTTTTAATCAAGACAATAACAACAAGGCATGCCGAAATATATTTTTTCAATTTTTTTATAAAAAAAGGTTTTAACAATAATATTTCTATTCAACTCGATTTTGTTTGTAATAGTACTTCAAAAAATAATTAAATTCTGGAATGTGGTTAATTAACTTAATTATGTTCTAAATTCAAATACAAAGCACAATGTCATTATATTAAACTAAAATATTGAAGTGCTTTAATTACCAGCTGCTTTACTAAAGCAGAAAAAGCAAGATTAGCCCAAGTGTATAAACTTTAAACCAAGTGATTACAGATATAATTAATCTGTAATTAAATGTTAAGTACTGATAAGAGAGGATCTATAAGTGAATCTCCCCATGAATTTATAAAGGTCCGGGACTTTGTGTTCAAGTTTAATTTTGTGGATTAATTAACTTAATTACTATATCTTAGAGGATATAAAAATATTGATACCTAATATCTATCAAGGATATTTATGTATCTATGTGAGTGTGACAATCTTTTTTTATTTTTATTTTTTATTTTTTTTTGGTGTAGCTTAGGAATTCCTTGTGCGTGTGTGTGTTTTTTTTTCTTTTCTTTTTTAATTTGCAATGACAAATGATTGAATATCCAAATAAAGGCTAGCAAAGAAGGGATGTTTTGAGAGTAACTCGAGTTATTATCGAATTATGTACGTTTTATATCATCAATTAATTTTACGATAACTGATATCGGCTGAGATCGTACACGTTCATTAATTCGGCAATATGAATCATTAAAAGTATTGGAGAATGTTTTTTTTAAAAAAAAAAAGAAGAAAAAAGAAAAAGAGAAGAGAGAAATAAAGAGTTTTGATTTGCATATTCATGGAGTTCAATAATTGAGAACTTAACCCCACCACCATTCCATGTTTTGGGATCACTTTCTTGATTTTGCTATTTTAATTTGTTCTTTATTTGTTTCTAAACTTCAAAATTAATGAAACCCATATTAGTAAACAAAGTTAATTTGTAGATTGATTATGCACACGTGCACATATAGTTAACATGCGAAAAATACCCTAATAACATTTTTTTTGCCCGATTTTTTTCTATTAATAACAAGAAGAATTACAAAAAAAATCATTAAAACTCAGTTCGGCTCAAGAAAAAAGTACCCCTCTTATTTTCGGCGAAAATAAGTTAAACCTATTCTATCCGAAAAACTAAGCTAAACCAATTACATAACTTGGTACCACTATTTGCTAGCTAGTTTTAATATTTTGAACTAAATATTGTAGTTTTTACTTTTTAGTCCAATTATTTTCAAAAATATAAGCATGGTAGCATAAATATATAACAAAAATAGTTTTTTTTTTTTTTTTTTTTTTTTTTTTTTTTTTTTTTTTTATCATTACAACTATCCAAACAATAAATTTTTTTCGTAATTTAACCATACCTTAGTGGTATCCGTAATTTGCCCTTATTTCATTGACTCGTCAGCTTATACCATGCGCCTCAGGTGGTGTTTGCAAATGATTATTTAAAAGCAGAAGTTAGTGATTGTGATTTAAGTTAGTTTTAAGTGTTTATTTCTAAAAGTTGGGGGTGTTTGCAAATATTTCGGAAAATGAACTAAAATTGAAAAAGCAGGGTTATGGATGCTTTTAAAAAAATAGCTTAAAGCAGATTATTTTAAGAGAAGCAAAAACAAAAGTTGATTTTGCAAACACCTAAAAACAGATTATGAGCAAAAAAAACCGCATAATCACTTTCAAAAAGCATTTGCAAACACCACCTCAAATTCAATTCTTAGGAACTTAATTAAAATATTTAATTTAAAAACATTCAAGTAAAATCCAATAAGTGATCAGGTACGTACTTATATACTCCGTACTCTATAATTGGTGCACATTAATGAGAAATTATGCCAATAAAAACAAATTTTTTTTATTTTTTAAAAAATAAATGATAAAAATAAATTGGTCCTTAA